GAAACATTTCAGCATCTTACCACATTCTAAAATTATGATCAAGAAGATCGAGAGAAGCGGATGAAGAAAAGCGGAAGGAGGAGAAAAAAGGTCTCTTAATGCGACAATATTGCAATATTTGTAAAGTGTTAGAATGACAAGAAGTGTTAGTGTTAGAATGTGTTAGAATGAAGTATTGGAATGATAAGAAGTTTATAAGCATAAACTGTAATAAATTTAATATATACATAATTTGTAACAAATTGTAACCAAATACATTTTATTTTGATTTAAATTAAAATGTTTGACAAAATAAAACAATATGCTAATGTAAAACGGCAAAATAAAAAGATATAGGTGATCAAAAATGAATCAATTTAAATCCATCAAAATTATAGCAATGATTACTTTTGCAACTATAAAATTGTATTTAAATAATCCTTCAGTGATTGAGTAATGAGTAATGATATGGGCAAATTTGCTTTAAATTAATAAAGTTAGGGAAAATTTTGAAGAAATGTGTATGCTAATGTTACGCTCAGTGACAATATCGGAATTTGCTTGCATACTTTTATTAAAATTAATCAAAAAATAATGACTTTTTAATGTACTTTTTAAATTAAACAATAACTTTTTAATGTACTTTTTAAATTACTTTTCAAATTAATTGATGCACTTTTTAAATTATCACTTTTCTTTTTTTTCTTTCCCCTTTTATTTTTCAAAAAGATAATGACAATTTTAAAAAATTTAAGCCCTTCCAAGAATTTGCAAATTTCGTAGCTTTCACTCAGACAATCCAAGGCATTAATATGTCATCGAATTGTTGCAATGATAATGAACTGTTGAAATTTTGTGAGTGATAATGAATAAAGAAACATTTTAATGGTACAAACTTGCCCAGTCACATCATAAGAACTGCTATAATAATTATGATGTTTTGAATTAATTCATTGAGATTTTTACATAAATGGAAAACATAATTTAAACGACTACCTCTGTATTTTTTCTTTCATTCCTTTCCTCCCTCTCTTTTTCTTCCTCCCTTGTAGTTCATTGTATTTTTCCAAGATAAATATTGCGAATTACTTTAGCATAAGTCCAGCACTTTTATTTTTACGTTCCATTGGGATGGACGAAGACGAATTATCGTAATTCTAATAAAACCTAATTATAGGCACAATAAAACAAAACAAATGTTAGCATCTAATCCTGTAAACTTTTTGCAATTATTTAAACAATAATTAAAAGAATTTTAATATAAAAGATTTGGAAATAATAATATATAAGAGATATAAATATGGCGTGCAAAAGTATTCGACAATTTTGCAAAGAGAATGGATAAAAAATTAAGCGGATTTTTTTCTAATTTTTTTTTTTTCAAATTCTTATCTTTTATCTCTCCTATTATTCTTTCATCATTTGCTCTTTTATCATCTAATCTTAACTCTTATCACCGTCTATTTTCTTTTTTTTCTTTTAAAATATTGTTTTTACATGACATATATTATATTATGAAACGTTGAAATCAATATTCGCAACAATTTAACAGCTATGTAACCAAGGTAACGAAATTTCTCTGAAGAGAAAAAGACATAATCTAGCTTTCATCCGCTTTTAAAAATTTCAATCGTACTAATCAGTCTTTTATATTTTCTATTATAAACATTTATCTTCTTCATATGAATCATTTTTTGTGTTTTAAATTGTTGAAATTCATCAAAACTATCAAATATTGTTTAATTTTCCATCTAAATTAAAAAATTTTAATTTAGTTATTTCCGCTTCTTCGCTTTCTTTCTCTCTCTCTCTCTCGCTTATGTTTTCTCTTTTACCGTTTTAAATGGAATATTTAGGCCGTTATTTAGAATAAAGTCTTTTTTTTCTTTCCCTTTTTTCTCTCTTTTTGTCATTCCTTACTTTCTTGACAAATACCTATGGATAAATTATTCAAAAATTCAAATTTATTGTTTAAGAAATAATCATTTGCATTCCATTTTTTTCTATTTCTTATTGAAACATTTAGCCATAAAAGATTTTTACACCCAACATGACAATTCAAATTTGATTGTTATTAGTATTTGATTAATTAATTGTTATTAATATATAAATTTTTGGCCAGGAATGTTCAAGATTTGGTTGTGCTGTCATCGTAGAGTATCAGCTATTTGAATATTATTGATAATCTAACATGATAAGATCAACGTTAATCAAAAAAAAAATTTAAATTAACTCTAATATTTCATATCGCCTGATAAAAATTCAGCTAATATTTTGCATATTACCATATAAAAGTTATTAAAAAAGTGACAATTTCGATGTTATTTTATTGTTTTCGATATTTTGTGACAATTTCGATGTTATTTTATTGTTTTCGATATTTTGCAATAACATTTAAAAATTTCAGCAATAATTGCAACATACCAAAGTAAGAAATACGTAAAAATCGATGTCAAATGAGACGAAGCCTAAAAGTAGAAGAAAGTCAAAAAGTAAAGAGCATAGTGATAAAAGGTGATGATATTTATTTTCTAATCTAATTATCATTGAATATTAATTTAGCAATGAGAAATATATCTGTGAAATCCAAAATATTATAATGAAATAATTATTGGAAATATAATTTATTAATATTTATTTTTTTTTTTTATTTTTTTAAAA